GCAGCCTCGGGGGGGGGCCCCGTTTTATCTTTTCATTGGCCCGGCAATGCGGGACCCTACGGAGGAACCGCGTGTCCGCCAGCGCCGCCCCCTCCGGTTGCAGAGGTCCCCGCACCCAGGGCTCCCTGGAAGGCTGCAGTTTCTGGCCCTCCCACCACCTACGAACCTGGGCAGTTCGCTTCCCCCCTCGCAGGGCCGGGGTGCGGGCCAGCCCCGCGGTTAGGAAGGAGGCCTGGGCCGGTGCCTCCCGGGCAGTGGGAGACTTGAGCGAGTGACAGTGGCAGCCAGAAGCCACCTCCTTCCACCCCTACTTGTGAGTTAGGGCAGAACTCTGGCGCAGTGGAGGGCCTGGCCCGGGACATGTTAAAGAGGCAGCTGTGTTTAAATACTCAAGAACTCCCCCGACCCCCAACACGTGTGACTCCAGCTTGTGGGTGGCGGCCACCCCTGGTCCGTCACCTTCCCTGGCTCACCGGGCTCAGGCTGGCGGAGCGCCTCTCCTTGCCCACCGTCTTCCCCTTGCCCTTGATAAAGCGGCCGTCTCCTTGGCCAGGGAGAGTCATGTGCGAGGAATGCGGCCGCAGAATGGAGCCCTGTGTTCTCCGTGACTGGACTTGAGGGACGCAGGGTGCTTAGTTCTGCCGCCCTTATGGGCACGAAAGGGAGCAGAGGTTTTGAACTCTGGGTTGTCCTGGAAAACCCAGGCTGGGTGACTGCGTGTAGGGGCGGTCCTAGGTCCTGGCCAACCTCCCTGACCTGCCGGCTCTCCCAGGGAGACTGAGCCCGCCCCACAGGAGTCCCTGGGCAGTTGTCAGGTCTGCCCCTCTGTCATTGCAATATCCCGGTCTGGAGGGACGGGGGCTGCAGCTCTTCCTCCATGGCCTGGACCCAGAGTGGGAGCCCCCCCCTCCTCGCCCCCCTTCTCCCTCTAGCCAGCCCCTCTGCATTCATCCATGCCTGGAAGGGAGTTTTGACTCTGAAAAAGGAAATGTGTGAGTTCTTTGTATACGCCTGGTTTCTGAAGTCGTTATCTACGCATTGTGTAATCCTTCTACCTGCATTCTCCCCATTTTCAGATGGAGATAATGAGGCCCAGAGAGGCAAAGTGAATTCCCCAAGGTCACACACCTAGTGAGCGGCAGAGCCAGGTTCTGGACCAGCCTCCGGTCACTGCCACTCCAGCACAGTCCCCCATGGCCCACCCCGGGTGGGTAGCAGCCCCAGCCTGGGGTTTATTTGAGTCCTTGGTACTTTTGACCTTCACGCTGCCCTCTGCTAAATTCAGCTGCTTTTTCCTCTTCAGGATCTTGTACACACCCTTCCTCTTTCTTCCTGATGTCTTCCTGGTTGCCTCCCCGACTTCCCTTCCAGAAAGCCACAGGAATATTGTCCTTTCCGGTCCCAGCCCCTCAGACTTAGCCGTTCTCCTTAAAAGTCTTTCCCCCTCAGCCGTGGAATTGACCTTCAGTGTCCTGTTCGGCAAGCAGACGGAGCCCGTCTCTCTCTCCTGGCCCATCGGGCGGCTGGCCATCCAGGTTGCTTGTGTGCCCAGCTCGGTGCCAAGCAGCCTGGAGAAGAGGCTGTCTGGCTGCTCCCCCTGGTTCCTTCCGCTCCACTCTGGCCCATCTCCAGTTCCTCCATGGAACCGGCCCACGTACCTGGATTAGCTTCTGCCCCTTACCCTTCGGCCCACAGTCCTGCCTCCACCCCAGGGAGACGGCACCTGGGAGCCTCCTCCTGCAGGTCGTCTGCCTCTGCCAAGGAAGGCGGGGACCACGAGTCAGACCTGGCCTTCTCCCGGGGTTCAGTTCTGCGAACATTGGTCACCTTGTCTCCGGGCCACCACCTGCCCCTGCCCTCTCATGTCTTCTGTCTCTCAGGGCCTCCACCATTCCCGCCCCTCTGTCCACCCAGCGTGTTCCAATGGCTCCTCAATGCCACCTCCTCTGGACCCAGCCTCGCCAAGCTTCCCCAAAGAGGAGGAAGTGGGGGCTTCTTGGAGCCCCTGCCCAGCCCTTGGTTTGCCCATCTTGTTCCAAGGACATTCTCCCTGGAAGAGCCCCCAGGGTCTTTGTTCCACTTTGACCCCTCGGGGGCATGTCTCCAGGAAGTAACCATCCTCTCCTTCCCGCTTACTCGTCCCCTTAGGACTCTGCTCCCGCCTGGTGCTCCTGCCACCTTCCTTCCCCAGCTTCCCTTCCCACCAGGAGTGAGCTCTGTCCTGCTGGTTGCCTCTTCTCTTGCATGACCCCTAGCGATTGTGTCCTCGCCTGTGGCACGGTGGCCCCCCAGCTCTGAGTCTCCGTGTCCAGCCCTGCTCTCTCCCAGGTGTCAGTGCGAGCCTTTGCGTGTGTTTACTTCAGGGCATTCGGTCAAAAAGCCATCGCTGGCTATTTGATCCGGGTGTCGCTGCAGCTCCAGGCCTGGTGCTGTGGGGCTGCAAAGATGAGCATGCTGCCCGGCCAGTGTAGCTCAGTGGTTGAGCATTGACCTATGAACCAGGAGGTCACAGTTCAATTCCTGGTCAGAGCACATGCTCGGGTTGCGGGCTCGATCCCTGGTGTGGGGTGTGCAGGAGGCAGCTGATCAGTGATTCTCTCTCATCAGTGATGTTTCTATTTCTCTCTCCCTCTCACTTCCTCTCTGAAATCAATAAAAAAAAATATATGTATGTATATATTTTTTAAAAAGAGGAGCATGCTGTGAGCTCCGCGCTGGGGAGCCATAGAGGGTCAGAGGAGATTGTCACCCTCTGTGTTCACAACAGATGTCTTGAGTGCTTGGTAGCAAGCAGTCAGCGCAGTGACAGACAAGGGACAGTGGTCTTCAACCCAGGCAGGGCCATGAGGAAGCCCTTGGGCGTCTCTAACTCCATTTTAAACCAAAAGCAAACTCCCGAGTTGCTTCTTTTGAGCTGCATGGCTTCTTCTGTAAACGGTATCACGTTTGTCTGAGCCTGGGTCTGGGTCTATAGCTAAGTCACCTTAAAGGCCCTCAAGGCTGCTCTGCACACAATAGGTGCTCAATAAAAGCTTGTGCCGTGAATGCGGAAAGTCTGTTCTGTGCATTTGCTCAGTTTATAAGGGACCTATGGAGCTTCCCATCCAGCCCTGTGCTCCCCCCCCCCACCCCCATTCTCCCACCGCTCCTTGCACCCCGCTGTGACTGGGAACATTTGTTGCAGTGTTTACCTCTCTCCCCACAGGGAGCTTTGAGGCCCTGTTACTCCTGATCAAAGAGACCCCTCTCCCCCGCCCCCCGCAGGTGCTTGGCACACAGCAGGCACCCAATAAATAATTATTAAATGAAGAATGGATGAAGCTTTGTGGTATCTCAACTCCTAGCCACTTGCCTGCTGTGTTGTAGGCTTGGAGAGAAGGCTTGTTTGAATATGTGAATGAGCTGACTTGAAGAGAATTTGACACATAAACCTAACTTGTCACAGGCGACCGGCAGGGTCCCCTCTGATGAGATTTACAGAGATGCCACTGACTCATGCTTCCTCCGTGTGGGGCACGTCTAGAAGCTGTCGGGCTGCGAGTGGAGGGGGGTGATGTGGGATCGCCAGATGGTGCTGCAGACACACCTGGAGGGCGCCTTGCCCCCTCCCTACCCTGAATGGAGATAAGGAACCCCCCCCACCCCCGCGAGCCATGGGAGTTGGCGCGAACCCTCTAGATCCGGTTCGGCCAGCGGTCTTCAATCTCGTCTCCCCGTGCTCTCTCCGCAGGCTGCCGGGCGCCCGGGGGAGGCTGCGGATCCCCGGGCCATGGTCCAGTCTCGCCGGACCCCCGAGCGGGGGAGGGCCCGCCCCGCCCCAGCCAGCCCGGCCGCCCGCCCTTTCCCACACACCGGCCCGGGGAGGTTGAGAACTGGTGAGTCCGCATTTTTAAAATGCCTCTTGATTTCCCTTCCTTCCTCCTCCAGACACCCGGGATGAGAGCGAGGTTTCTCTCAAGTTCCTCGGCTCAGGCCGAGCTGTCAGGTAAATTACAGGGTCCGGCAGCCGGGGAGCCGGGCGTGGAGTCGGAGCGTCAATCTCGCCCTGGCTGCCGCGCTGCGCCATCTGCGCGCAGAGGAGCCGCTGGCGGCCGCGCAGTTAAACTTTAACGCGGTCCCTAGAGCAGGGGGAGGACGCTGCCCACAGCCACGCGGTCCCAGCCCGGCCAGGTCGGGGGCTCTGCCGTCAGCCGGTCCTTGGCGGAGGGCTCAGCTCTCCCTTCGGTTGCTGCCACCGGCGGCGGGTAAACAAGGTAGGTGAGGTGGCTGCCCTGCCCGGTGGCTGCACAGCTCCCCGCGCGCGGACACCTGATCCCGCCTGGGCTGGCCCGCGGGTGGACTGAGGCTGCCCTGGAGCGGGGCCTGGCAGGGTTTGGGCGCCGTGCGCTCGGTTTTGGGTACCCATCCAGGTGGCTTGGGTAGGGGGCCCCAACAGCAGGTGGGCAGCGAAGGAGCCCCTGGATCTGGGTCCCCCGCTGGCTGTCCCCCTGGGGAGCTGTCAGCACCAGCGCTGCTTTCTGGGTCATGTCCCCTGGTGCCTCCGACAGGACAGCGAGAAGTAGTGGCAGTTCTGATGATGGGTTGGGGCTGGCTTGTCTGGCTGTCAGGGGTGGGGAGCTGCCCTTGACCCTTGCCCAAGTTGGGCCTGGGCAGGTCTTCCTAGAAGTGCCAGGGGAGAGAGGCGTCTTCGGGGAAGATGGCTTCAGGCGTGTGCTGTGGTCTCTTGTTCTTGACCCACAGGGAAGGGGGTTTAGTTTAGATGCCTGTGAGCTGGCTGTGTCCCTCACTGCTGTCACTCCAAGCCCATCCGTGAAAGGAGGGGGAAACCGAGGCCCAGGGAGGGCGCATGCGAGCTTCTCTCGGGCTCTCTCTCTCCCACCACATTTGTGCCGTCACTGGCAGCCACAGGGATGCCCTCCAGGGTCTCTCCGTACGGGATGGTGAGGCTGGGTGGCCCTGGGGACCTTCGGAAAAAGCTCGGGCTGTGGGGTCAGGTAGCCCCAGTTGTCTGGAAGGGACTGAAGATGGCCTCCACCCCACAAGATTGTCTTAAGGATTGCAAATGGAATAGGAACTAGCATTGCTTTTCTGGAAAAAGAAAAAAAAAAAACCTCACCAAAACAACCACCAAAATTTGTGTCCTTGAAAACTAAAAAAAAAGACAACAACACCCCGAAGCAAAAACAAAGTATAAAAAAGAAAAGAAAAGCCCTGGCCAGGTGGGGTGGAGTGTCTGCCCATAAACCGAAAGGTCGCAGGTTCAATTGCCGGTCAGGACACATACTAGTACTTAGATTGTAGGTTGAATCCCTGGTCAGGGAGCATATGGGATGTTTTTCTCTGTCTGGGGAAGAAAAAAAAAAAAAGAAAGAAAAGAGAAATCACCTACCGTGGAAATATAGAGGGTTCGGTTCCTGGCCGCCACAACAAAGGGAGTGTCGCAATAAAGCGAGTCACAAACTTCAGGCTGGTGGAGGGTCTGCCTTCGATTTGTAAAAAACGCAGTGTCTGTGGGATGCAGTCACGCGAAGCACAGGAAGAAAATGCCTGTGTGAGCGTGTCATTAAGCGCTCTGTATAGTTACCCCCAGCCTTGTGTGTGCACGTGCGTGTGTGTGCGTGTGCGTGTGCGTGTAGGTCTGTCAGATGAGCATTGTGACTATTATATACACGCTTTTATCTACTTTTAAAATTTGAGACAAAGCTCAAATGAGATCCCGTGTGTGAAATGCTAAGCCTGGTGACTGCTACTGGGTAGGGTCTCAGCCAATGTGGTACCCCGCAGCCCCCACCTTTCTGGGTACCTGGCATGGTGTGGGCACTTCATTTTTAATTTTTATTATGTTGTGTGTGAGCACTTTATGCATGTCACCCATTTTGTCCTCACCACAGGACTGTGAGTTTGATGATTATTATTTTTTTGGGTGTTTTTTTTTTAAGTTTGATTCTTTATCCCCATTTTATTGACAAGGAAACTGAGGATCAAGGAGGGCATGAAAGTCTGGAATATCCTCCCAGCCCAGGGCGGTGATTCTGCCGTTTGCCCTGTGAGGCAAGCCCCTCCCACCCATCCAGTCCCACAGGCTGTGGTGGGTTGGATGGGTGTCGCTGCCAGGTAGCTCTCTCCCCCATCCGGTGTGTCAGCGGCCCGAGGGATGCACTTTCCTGGCCCTGAACATGCTTTCGGAGGCCGCAGGGGCCAGGCCACCCAGCGTGGGGTTGGTGCTAATGAAGGCAGGGGAGAAATTGCCACCTAGAGGCAGCCAGGGTAACAGAGCCGGGCCCTGTGCGGATGCGCACAGCCCGGTTGGCATCGCTTCTTCTGCTACTCTCTGCAGCAGGAGCTCCCAAGCCACCTGAGGGAGCTGGGAGGGGAGCCCCACAGGGTCCCAGGGCACCCTCCTGTAGAGAATCTGGGAGCAGCTTCTGGGAAGAAAGGCGCGCAGCCCCTGCCCAGTGTCAGGCTTCCCTCTGTGCAGGGCAGGCATGTGACAGCGTGTACGGCTGCGTTGGCTGGAGCGTGTGCAAGCCAAGCTCCGCCGCGGCCCTACTCAGTGGTCCACGGCCGGCCGGCAGTCAGAGTCTCACCCCTCTTTTCTGTCCTGGGACAGGGCGTGGGAAAGACACCCCGGCCGGTGGTGATGAGGACTCTGGTGCCCGCAGTGGGGCACGCCCGGCCCTAGCCCAGTGCCGAGCCCTCAGCGTGGACCGCGCTGGCCCCGGGAGCCCCCGCCGGCTCTACCTGAGCCTGCAGGTAAGCACGGGGGGCTTCCAGACCACGAGGCGTCCAGCCAGGGGTGTGTGTCTTGCCCTCTGAGCTGGAGCGCTGGGTCCCTACAGGCTTCTCTGGGGGAAAGAAGCTCCGAGGGAGGCCCGGGGACCTGCCTCATGCGTCTTTGCCAAGCTCCGCACAGCACATGCGCCCGGGAGCCTGCCTGGACGGAGCGGTTTGCTTTGCTGGGTTATCTCGGGGGAACTATCAGGAGATGACAGAAGCTTTCCAGCCACACCCTGGCTGAGGTGTTCAAGTGGGAAGTGCGGGGCCTTCTCTGAGAAGCTATTAGGAAGATGGGCAGGGTTTAGGGTAGCTGTTTATTCCCGCTCCGACGTGAGTCTGTGGGGCAATACTTGTATTTCCTCGTCTAGAGCCGTCATCCAAAGCTAGACAGAGGGCTTGGCCAAAACTTGGGTCCTTTTCTCTTGCAGTAATCACCAAATGACTTTCAAAAGACAAACTTTACCTCTATATGTATATTCAGTTGCCGGAAAAAATACAGAATGACAGCAGTAATAATGGCTACTGTTTACTGAACACTGACTCTGTGCCAGGTGCGGTTCCATGCATGATGTATCTCACATCCGTCCTCAGAAACAGTCTCAAGACGGTTACTGTTTTATCGAAGTTTGTGGATGAAATCATACAGGTTCAGAGAGGTTAAGTAACTTGCTACTGGTCACACAGCAAGCTGGGATCTGACCCACTACATATGGGCTTTATGACGTGATGTAAAGTGTTCGCACAGGGCAGAGATGTGATACCGAGGGACCGAATGCCTCCCGTCGTCCTGAATCTCTGAGGAATCCACTAGTGAGACTTCAGTGTCTATCTTTCTCACGCATCCACTTCAACATATTTATACATGTGTTTATTATTTATGTCCACATACTGTCCTGTGGCTAGCTCTTTCCTTCAACAGTAAACCTTGGTGATTTCTTCACGCACATCAATATTTAGAGAAAGGCCTCATTCTTTTAAACTGCCTCATAATATTCCACTCCTGGGCTCACCCTGGACTTTCTAACTGACCCTCTGTCTTACTTGTGACTGCAGCGAGCTCCGTGAATATCTGCATGTCCACGCGGTTCTAGCGTTGAGTAATGTTAGGGCCGCGCTGGCTCTGCACTTTTGCAATGAATCTGTTCGTTGCCACATGTTTATGAAGCGCTTACTCTGTGCCACGTGCTGTGTGGGTGCTGACACACAGCAAAGAAGAGACATACACCCGACAGGCTAGTGGAGGTGCCGGAGAGGAGTCAGGTGATTGCAAACGTAGGAGTGCAAACGGGCGAGGGCCACGGATGCAGAGGCAGAGGATGAGGAACCAGGGTGACCGGGGCGTGCTGGCAAGCCACCCCCATCCCACGAAAGGTTGTGCACAAGAGGCCCCGCCTTGAAGGGACACGTGCAAGTGGAGGGCAGGATGGGGAGTGGGAAGTACGTGTGCCCTCTGAGCACGTCCTCCCGCGCGCAGACAGAAGTCCTAGTCCCAGGCGCTGCCTGGCCCCAATTTTCTTTTCTTTTTTAAAATGAGACTCTCTTATTTATTTGTTTTTTTAATCCTCACCTGAGGATATGGTTTTATTGAGTTTTAGAGAGAGAGAGGAAAGGGGAGAGAAATAGAGAAATATCGATGGGCTGCCGAACAGGGATCTAACCCACACCCTTTTGATGCACGGAATGATGCTCCAACCAACTGAGCCGCCTGGTCAGGGCTGGCCCCAAGTCTTTTTTTTTAAAAATTATGTATTTATTGTTGAAAGTATTACATTTGTTCCCCTTTTCCCCCCATTGACCTCTTCTAGCCCGCCCTGCCCCCTGCCCCAGGCCTTCACCACCCTATTGTCTGTGTCCATGGGTGACGCATATATCATACAAGTTCTTTGGTTGATCTCTTCTCCCACCCACTAACCTTCTCCCGCCTTCCCTCTGAGATTCCGCACTCTGTTCTATGCTCCTGTGTCCATTTTGCTCATCAGTTTATTTTGTTCATTAGATTCCACATATGAGTGAGATCATGTGATACTTGTCTTTCTCTGACTGGCTTATTTTGCTTACCTAATGCCCTCCAGGCCCCTCCATGCTGTCTCAAAGGGTCAGAGAGTCTTCTTTTTCACTGCTGCATAGTATTCCACGGTGTAAATGTACGCGGCTTTTTTATCCACTTATCTGATGGGCACTTGGGCTGTTTCTAGATCTTAGCTATGGTAAATTGTGCTGCTATGCACATAGGGATGCATATATCCTTTCTGATTGGTGTTTCTGGTTTCTTAGGATATATTCCTAGAAATGGGATCACTGGGTCAAATGGGAGTTCCTATTTAATTTTTTGAGGAAACTCCACACTGTTTTTCCATAATGGCTGCACCAGCCTGCATTCCCACCACCGTGGACTAGGGTTCCCTTTTCTCCACATCCTGGCCAGCACTTGTCATTTGTTGATTTCTTGGTGGTAGCCAGTTCTGGCAGGTGTGAGGTGACACCTCATTGTCATTTTAATTTGCATCTCTCTGCTGATCAGTGACTTTGAGAAGCTCCAAGACTCCATCTGATCACGGGCCCAGAGCTTGCTGTCACTTCAGAGGTTTTCCCTGGCCCTTGTGTGGTTCATCTGAAAACACAACCAAATGGTCCTGTTATCAGTCGGTTCTGTGAGAAAAGCAGCCGGGCCGGGGCGAGAACAGTTAAAGACACCAGGGAAGCCTTTTTTTTCTCTCTGAGTCGAGCCAATGGTAGTTAAGTCGGGAGGTGGTCAGAACCGGCTGCCTGGGGCTGGGCGGTGGCCCTGCTCTTGAATTTTGATTATGGGGTGTCGGGTTATGCTTGCAGCCCATCCGCTGGGCTCAGCAGATCCGCTGAGGATCTCTGTGGAGCTCCAGCCAGCAGCCGGTGCCCGTGACCCCGCCGTCTGGGCTCCGCCACGAGAACAGGTGGTTGCGGGTGCTTCTCGGGGTGCTTCTCGGGGTCGGGGAGGTGGGGCCGAAGGAGGGGCCCAGGAGCAGGGAGGCGACAGCAGGCGGAGTGACCCTCCCGGCCAGCCTCCCACGCAGCTGGAACCTGAGCGCGTCCCTGTGGGGCACCCTCGAAATTCCCAACCCCCTGGGGGCCGGCTGCCCTTCCTGTGGTCTGGCCGAAGGGCCAGAAATAGTGCAACCTTTGCTCCGGTCGGCAAATGGAAACTTCCAGCTGCCGGCCGCTGCCGCCGCCGCTGACAAGCCGGCTCATGATGGTGTGGCAGTGGGTCGGAGGGCGGGACGAAATAAAGTCACAGCTTTTCCTAAGCATGAGGGCTGGGCTGTCCACCCTCCCTCCTCCAGTGGAACGTGGTGGTGGGGGGGTCCTGGGGTCGAGAGGGAGGGAGCGGATGGTGAGCTTAGGAGCCTGATGCCGTCGCTTTCGCCTCTGGTCGGTTCTCTCTCTGGGCTTTTTGGGGATAAAAGTAAAAGATACAGAAATACCGAATCCGTCCCTGGCAGGGAGCTCACTCTGTGTCAGGCCCTTGGAGTATCTGCCTATGGCAGTGATGGCGAACCTATGACACGCGTGGCAGAGGTGACATGCGGACTCATTTTTTCGGTTGATTTTTCTTGGTTAAACAGCATTTAAATATATAAAACAAATATCAAAAATATAAGTCTTTGTTTTACTATGGCTGCAAAGATCAAAATGTGTGTGACACATGGCACCAGAGTTAAGTTAGGGCTTTTCAAAATGCTGACACGCCGAGCTCAAAAGGTTCGCCACCACTGGCTAAGTCATTGCCGTCACTTTTTATACCAGCTCCTCGAGGCGGGTGGGGGTGATCTTTTCAGTTTCAAGAGTGGGGAGAAGGACGCTTCGGGGGAGGAAGGAGCTTGCCCAGAGCCACACAGCTCACAAGAGGCGGGGAGCCAGCCGGACCCTTTTGACTCGAGACTTGAGGCCGGAGTGGTTTTAAAACCATAGCATGGGTCTCTTTGGAATACGGTGGGCACGGAGGCACACAAAACGTGTCTCGAAGCGCTCTTCCCAGATAACCACCTCTGTTGATGTTAAAAAATAAAGCGCGTTAGCCCGAGCCGGTTTGGTTCAGTGGATAGAGCGCCGGCCCGAGGATGGAGGGGTCTCGGGTTTGATTCCCAGTCAAGGGCACGTGCCTCGGTTGCAGGCTCGATCCCCAGCCCCAGTCAGGGTGCATGTAGGAGGCAACCAATCGATGTGTCTCTCTCACATCCCTCCCTCTAAAAATCCATGGAAAAATACCTTTGGGTGAGGATTAACACATACACACACACACACACTGTAGATGTTTATAAGGTTAAAACCCCAAATGTCCACAGGTTCCAAGTGAAATGGAAAGCCTCCCTTACCTCCTTCCCACATTCTCTGTTTCTTTTTATTCTCACAAAAGCTTGAATGATGCATGTTTTTCCTCTCACCCCACCTCCCAGAGAGAACCTCTCTCTGTATATTTCCCAGAGGTTTTTTTCGAGGCATGTTTTATTTCCATGGTCCTCCAATGGGATGGCACGTTACGCGAGGTTCTTACCTCGGGCGGCGTTCTGGGTGAGCTGCGGTGATTGGTTTCTGACGGGGGGGGCGCGGGGGGGGGCACTTCTTGCCCCTCCCCTTCTCCCACCTGCCCACCGGGCAGCTCTACCCAGCCTTTTTGCCTTTGACGAGAAGATGGGGTCCCGTGGTCCCTAGATGGCCATGGGGGGTGGGCCAGGCCCTTCCCCTGCTTGCTTGGACCCGCGTGCCCCCTCCTTGGGCGCCCATGGCTGGTGCCATCTGGAGGTGGAGCAGTTGGCATCCTGGGGGAGTTGCCTGAGATTGCTATGTGCCTGAGTCAAGGGGGCTGCTGCACCTGCAATGGCGATTCATGCCCCGTAGGGCCGAGAGGACGTTGTCTGAGGTTTTCTAAGCGCCCAGTGGAGAGGGCCGGCTGCTGGTGGGGGACAGGGGGACACATCGCCCTTGTGTTGTTGCACCTTTTCTCCCAGACTCCAGGCCTGTTTGTCCCCGTCGACCCGCACGGTGAGGGATGGACCTGCGGGCCTGGGTCCTCACCAGCTCCAAGGATGCCGCGGTCTCAGGGTCAAAGGTGGCCCCCCCGCCCCCCCGCAGCCCCCTTCACGTGAGGATTCTGGTTGTGTCTTGGCAGCAGGCCCAGCAGGACAAGGGGTGCAAGAACAAGAGTCAGGGGACGAAAGAAGAGAAGCTGCTGAAGAGGCAGGCGCCGGCCCCCGGGCGGGACCGGGAGGCGCAGGACGCTGGTGGCACCATGAATGTAGAGAAAGCAGGTAACGGAGGTCTGCGCTGACCTGGAGCGGCCCTGGCGAGAGCTGGCCGAGGGGAGGCCCTCGCTCGTGGCGTCGGAACTGTCCCCAACCACTGTCCTCCTCGCTAGAGGTGGCCCGTCCAAATCCCGGAACTCAAACCCCAGCCTGCCCAGCCTCCTCCGGGCCGCCTCCCAGCGCCCAGGTGATAAGAGGCTTTGGCGAGAGCGTGGGCTGGGGTCGGATTTCCCCGCTTTATTCTCTCCCCAGCGCCTGTGGAAAGCAGGGCGGCCGGATCAGCTCAAAGATGCGCCCCCACCGCCTGCAGAGAGGCCTGGCCGCCTTCCCTTGTATCTGTGGGTCCACCGGGACCCAGAGACCCTGGGACGGGGCCCCACTCTGCTGCTTGCAGCGGGACACGGGAGCTGGTGGCTCCTCTCTCCTCTGGCGGGGCCGACTCCTGGGAGACCCCAGGGGCCCCATGGTGCGATCCCCCGAGGAAGGCCTGGCCCGGTGACGGTGGA